CTGCTCCATGAAACGAAACAAAACAAAAAACAAAACCGCCCTAAATGGGTAAAGCTGTGGTTTTCAGTTGCAGCTCACCTCGCTGACTTTCTAGCCATTTTCAGAGAACAAAAAAGGGTATGAACTGTTATGGCAACAAGCTGATGTTTTGGGATTTTTTGTTCCACTATAGGAAACGATCCATACGGAAGCATTACTCAGAAAAAGGACACACCAAGTTTCCATACCGAACTCTACTTATTTTAGCAAGATCATCATGGTAGCAAAACCTGATCCCAAATGCCATACATTCCCCTCACAGCCCCTTCCCATCTGTCTACGGGAGCACTGCTTTACTAAACTGGGTCACATGTCGTGGCCAGGCTGGGAGTGTGGGCAAAAAAGGGAAAAATAGAAACAAACAACACAAAAACAAGCCCACCGCTGCACGCACTGTTCGTGCATTTGCTTATAATTGGTTTGCAATGCACGCTGGAAACAAAAAAGGTTTCTAGAGGGATGACACAATAGCGTATTGATTTTCCAAGAAAATGGGAGGAAATGCATTTATTAAGATCTTGTTAAAGTTTAATATTCCAGGCTAATTTGAATTCCTCATTAGGTAGATTAGTAATGGGGGCCGGAGCGAAGCTCTCTCCGAGTTTAAATGCCTCTGAAGGCTACTGGGAAAGAGGGCTGGCCCTGCGCCAAGAGCCCGAATGCCTGAAGGAAACTACTTAGCTCCATTTCAATCACGTACTATGGAGCTGCCTCTCTGAAAGGGGAAGGGGGGAGGGAAAAAAAAAAAGAAAGAAAAAAAACACCCACATAGGATTGCATACAATTCGCATTGCATACAATTAATAGGCATGTGAAGGTTTGTAACACTTTGCATTTCGTTCTTCTCGGGAATTGGAAGGTTGTGAGGTGGTGGCAGGTTTTGGGCTCGGTCCCGAGGACCGGGGTACGGTAGCAGAGCGCACCGCCTTGCTTGGATCAGATTAGGGCACGAAAGGGGGAAAAAAATAATAAAAAAAAGCAACCCAACGAAATATGTCCATTAAAGGGAAGGAGCCTCCGTTCTTCCTCCTTTCCGACCGAGGCAATCAGCACTGTCATATGACTGACAACTCCGCACAGCACTCTGTGCTCGAAAACAGCTACATTGTGTATATATATATGTATACATACATTGTATATATGCGTGTATATATACATTGCATATATGTTTATATACTGTGTACATATATATATATATGAAACAATACATACAGATGTGCACGTACACCGCTGTAAGCTTTTCCCATCGTCGCCAGAAACAATCAATAATAAAATGACAACAAGAGCAGAACGCGGCCGGTTCGGACGGGGCCGTGTCGAACCCCAGCCCCGCAGCACGGCTCCGCACAGCGCAACTGCGGAGCTCGGAGCGGCCGTGGAAGGACGGAGCCGGAGGATGCGCCGCTCCGTGCGGCCGCCGCGGGACTCTTCGCCCGAAAAAGCGCCGTCTGATTGCAAAGCGAGACACCTGCTTCCCAGCACCTCTGTGCGTTCGTGCTTAATTCTGCCCCAACTCGCTGCTGACACTTGGGTTTGTTTTCTTTTTTTTTTTTTTTCTTTTTTTTT